TCCCACAGTTCACCCACCACCCCCTCCCACTGAGGAACAGGTACAAACCTTAGTTGAGATGGGATTTGACAGACAGAGAGTGATCAACGCCCTTCAGACTTGCAACAACGACGTAAACACAGCAACACATCTCCTTCTTCAGGAATCATGATAAATGTAGTGCTGTAGTCGAAACAATGGACAACTATTGTGATAGGATCTGTTGGGGAGGCTGCATTTAGATACCTATTCCTATATTTTGTAATAACCTATGAAAGGTCTAGAGTTTTTTAATATCATGCTGATCATAGAAAATCTAATATTTGAATATAGGTAAGAGGAAGCATTTATGCAGTAATTTCCAAATCTATAGAGTATTTTTCACTTTGAAATGCTATGCCCGCATGAAGGTCAATCTGGAGACCTGCGAAAAGCTAGTCATAGCAACTCACCAACTAATCTACAGAAAATGTATCATCAAAATTAGAGAGGAAATAAAGATATCTTATAAATTGTTTTGTAAGTTATTTTTTTTAGATGTACATACAAGACACATTTGTATAAAGAAAAAAAAAAGAAATAAAAAGCTGAAAATGGAAGGCGGTAGCTTATGCACATGAAAATTTAATTCTCTTTGTTGCTTGCTTCTTTGTTCATTTGTCTTGTGACTGAAGTTTGACATGACATGACAGCTCTCAAAAGAAATCCTTCCAATGTGCCGGAACTTCAGAATTTTGCTGTTGCACTACATAATATATATATATATATATATATATATATATATATATATATATATATATATATATATATATATATATATATATATATATATATATATATATTATCTGCATATAGTTAATGTAGATATTTCCAGTTAATAATAAGGAAAATGAATCAAATGTTTTTTCCTTCCATTTCATGTTTTAAAAAGCAATTATTTGTGTGGTTTTGGATAAAGGAAACTTTATTGTAAGAAGTATGTTACTGCATAGTATGAAAACCAGTATTTATCTTTTTCTTTTTCTTTTTTTTTGTTATCGCTAATCATCACAACAGTTTCTGTCATATACAATAGCATCCAAAGTTCTTCTGTTGTCACATATTAAAACATTTGTTGTTCAGAAAAGGAGATATGTAGTTAATTCCATTCCACTGTGTGCTGAGAAGAACAAGTAGGGTGTCATCTCAGGACATTTCTAAAATAAAAAATAGAAAAAGAAAAAAAAGGAAGAAAAAAAGAAAAGAAAAAAGAAAAAAAAGTCTTTGTTTTTTTCTTTTTCTTTTTTTCTTTTTTTTTTACCTCAGGAAATTACTGAAAACCCCTAGTCTCAGATGAACACACATACATATATTTTCACAGACAGAATATGAAAAACATACAAGGTACATATTTTCAAAATTTCAGTAATAGGTAATGAGGTGAATAGTGTAGTTTTTTTCTTTTTCATAAAGAACAAGTTCTTCATAGCACATTAAAATTCTATATAAATATGCAGTTACAACAGATGAACAAGCTACCAAATAATTTACTTCTGTGAGAATATTTATAGTATAAAAGCTGATTTTTATATCAAAGTTTTTAAAATGCACATTGAGATCTAAAATGATGAAATATTAGTGGGACCAATGCATTATCACAGAGTAATGTTTTTTCTCTCTTTTTTTGTTGTCGTTTCAGATTGTTTCTTTTTCTCATTTACTTCACCTAAAGCTGTCGAGTCATTACTCATGATATGATACTGTTCAATAGAATACAATAGAACATTTGATGTGTATTATCCTTGCTTTATTTTCAGTTGTCAACAGCTATGTAATTAAAGTCTGTACTTGTGTTGGAGGATGGAGAACCTTGTCTTCCTTTCTCTCTTTGTCAGGTAAACTTCCTTTATTTGCCTTCCTAATTTAACCAAATTTGAAGGATATTCTTGTTTATATCTGTGTTTTATAGAGCTAGTATTCAACAAACTTATTTATTTTGCAAATTTCAAGCACACAAGCTCTATGAACAAAAGATACAACAATAAGTTGAATGTATATACATTACATATTAAAATATCTACCTTGGTCATTCAGCAACAAATCTTTCTTAACCCATTGCCGCTAGTTACATTTATTTTATAATATTATTTTATTATATTATTTTATTTTATTTTGTTACATGTTGATGGCTCCATAAGCACTTAGTCCAAAAAGAGTGAACTAGTAGGCCTATTTGATCTTGCCTGATTTCCCCATTCCTTGTATTTTTCGGGAAAAGTTCCCTTCAATAAAATAAATCAATAAAGTCAATATCATTATTATTATTATTAATGCTGCTGTTATTGTTAATATTGTTATTATTATTACTATGAATATTATTGTTATTGTTGTAATTATTATTATTATTATTATTATTATTATTATTATTATTATTATCACTATTACTGGCATTTTGATTATTTGGATGTTATTAACAATACTGCTGATACCAATTGAAATACAAATATGTTTTCCATAACTATGAGAAGAGTAAGCAGGTGATAAAAGGTAGGACTAATAACTAACCTCGATAATTAAGCATTTGGAGCCATTAATGTGTACATAAAATTAGTAAATGATAATTACAGAGGACCTGGAATAAATGTTCTTCATCCCAGCATCAGTGGGTTAAGAGTTTTATTGCCAGTCACAAAATTTGAAATATACATGCAGAGAGCAAATATGCGTGAGTGATGCGTATGCCTGGGACCAACAACCTAGAACGCAATTAAATGTGTCATTTTCCGAACACTTTAGAATATCTTTTCCTCTCCCTTTTATCCTTTCTCCTATTCACATGCATGGTAAATTGTGACTTTATTTAGTTTTGAGTTATTTGTTTCTGAATCAGGATTTCAGATATATATTACAAAATGCTGAAGTAGTCTTTAGCTGAGTAAAACTTAAAATTGAGGTCTCAAACCAAATTGTTTCAGATTCAGGACAAAAAGTGAAGCACCCAAAAAATGTGTAAGAGTGATTTGTGTCATGTGATATTGTAAAGAAATTAATTCTTAAATAGTTGAATAAGGTCAGTGTGAGGTTTGTGTGAAGGATGACACAGTATTGGAGGTAAATTATTACTCTGTAGTGTGGTGCTGGTGCCATTGTATTACCTTGTTAGATATACATAAATGTGTTGCTGTTTGTGTACCACTTATGCAAGATAAACAATGTCACGAGAATGGCTAGCTTTCAGATTCTATAAAACTTTTGTTTGGATATTTTGTAAGTGTTCTGTGTGGCAAGAATGCCTCAACTATTTATTGTTATTATTATTATTTCATTATTTTCATTAGATTTACAGATACAATTTATGCAAGACTTTAATGGCTAAGTTCAAGTGATGTATGTATGTCCCCAATGAATTTCTTTTCAGATGTATGAGGTAAGTGTTTACTGTATATATTGTACATGTATGACAGTGTTTAAAAAGGGATTAAAAAATAAAACAAATATACACAAGATATTTCCAATAAATTATTCTTTTTTTTTGGATATTAGACTAAATAACTTGCATTGTAATTAACATCATCTCAGCCTGTTTCACATGTATTTAGAGATTCATTTAAGAGAATGACCTGATTATAAAAAAAGGACCTTGTTTTATATATTTGATGTACAAATTTTCAATTTATAAATGATATAAGACAGGTTCTTTATGCCTCTGTTGAAACCTTATCATTTCCTTCTTCTTTTTTTTTTTTTTTTTTTTGTTATGTACTCCACTTATAGACATCTACATGATTATTTAACCCACTGGTTGCAAATGGCATGGTATACATGCCATGTCCCCTATAATTTTAGCTTTCGTTTACACATAGATGGCTTCCTAAGTATTTAGCCACCAAGGAGTCAATTATTAGTCTTACCAAATTCACCTGGTTACCCTTTTCCTTGATTTTGATTTTGTTTTCTTTTTCTTTCTTTCTTTCTTATTTCTCTCTTCTAGCATTTTAATAACATCATAATTATCATTATGTCAATAACAGTATTAATATCAATAGCATTAGAAGAAGAAAAATCATCTGGTGTGGTCACTAGGCCCTGCTAATTGACTCCTAAGTGACATAGCACTTGTGGAGCCATCTGGGCAACAAAATGCACAAAATATTACAGTGGACAGTAGATTAATCTACAACCAATGGGTTATCTAAAACATCTTTTGTGCAATCTATTCCAGTTACACCAAATCTCCATTAACGTAAAACATGAGCAGAAGCACAAGGCTCTAAAATAATAATAATAATAATAATAATGTTGTCCACTTGTTCTGAAAGACAGCAAAGTGTGATATTTTTTTCCGGAAAAAAAAACTTTTGATTTATTTTATTTATAAATTATATATATATATATATATATATATATTTTTTTTTTTTTTTTTTTTTTTTGGGGGGGGGGGGGGGAGTTAGCAAAGTGTGAAATAAGTCAAGATTGTATTCACTAAAAATAGTTTTAGCAGCTACCCACTTCCTGTAAAAGTTAAAAATAAATTAGAGATTGCCGTATTTGGGGGATACATATTAGTTATATATGTCCAATTTTCCATGCAAGTAATGTTATTTTTCTTCCACATACATCAGGGGTGCATTGTGTTTATCACTGCTGTTCATATAGATACTGAAAGGATTCAGTCATTAATACACCATTCTTCTAAAAACATGTTCATATTGGGAAGTATATATAAATAATGCTCTAATTTGAACTTTGGAAATGAAGTGTGATTTAAAAAAAAAAAAGTTAACTAAAACCAGATATCCTTTTCCTCTTCTGCTATAATCTTTGCAGTGCAAGAGATGTGTATTGCATAATCCTTGCCCCTGAAATGTTTGTCTTTCACAATCTATAATAATGTCATTCCAGGGCATGCTTCCATTTACACATGTATCCATGTTTGTTTGGACATGGTATTAACAAAATTCATGCATATGCAAAATATATTATATATATTATGTATACATATATATATACATATATATATACATATATATATACATATATATATACATATATATATACATATATATATACATATATATATACATATACATACACATATATATATACATATACATACACATATATATATATACACATATATATATATACACATATATATATATACACATATATATATATATACACATATATATATATACACATATATATATATACACATATATATATATACACATATATATATATACACATATATATATATACACATATATATATATACACATATATATATATACACATATATATATATACACATATATATATATATACACATATATATATATATACACATATATATATATACACATATATATATATATACACATATATATATATACACATATATATATATACACATATATATATATACACATATATATATATACACATATATATATATACACATATATATATATATACACATATACATATATACACATATACATATATACACATATACATATATACACATATACATATATACACATATACATATATACACATATACATATATACACATATACATATATACACATATACATATACATATATACACATATACACATATACACATATATACATACATACTTATATACGAAAGTGAATGCCTTATCTATTGTAATATTTCAAAAGCTCAGCAGTTAGAGTTTTTTCTTTCTTTCTTTTTTCTTTTGCCTTCAGTTTCTTTTTCCTGCTTCCCCAATCAGAAACCACAACTCTTAGAGGCTCCCAGAATAAACCCTCTCTCTTTATGTATTAATCTTACAATTGGTCAGGCTCAACTAATTAGTAAAGTGATTTGCTGCCTGTGCTAGACCTACAGTTGTACAGTTGATGCAGCTACCTGTATGCATAACTTCTGTCTTTAGTTAGTGATATTTACCTTTCAAAATAATTTGTCAATTATAGTAAAACATCCATAGTTTTCTAATTCACTTGAATGAAAGGTTAAGGCAAGTAAATGAATGACATAAAGCTATTTAATTTGTAATAAGATCCATATGACTTTAGCATACAGACACCTATTACTCAAATTTGTGGGTATGCAAATAACAGGAATAAGTGTGTTTTTATCCTGAACAGGATATAACTATAATATATATACAGAGTCCATAATATGGTTTGAAATGCCTTTTCCATGTATACTACTTGTAATTGAAATTTAGGAATCAAATGAATTTATACCCAGTCTTGTCGTTATTAACTGATAATTGAGGCAGATGTCATCATTGCCCAAGTAAATTAAAACCAAGCTGTGAAATGAGGCATGAAAAAAAATCCTTATTCATCATAAATAAATAAAACATTTTGCAATGTTACATAAATACATGGTGAAAATGTATTTTTTTTTTTTTTTTTTATTAGAACTTGAATTTTGTATAGGTACTAAATGTATGCACATATATGAGGTACAAAGACTCCTTTGAGTATACATTTTTCTTCACCCTAGTGTTTCAGTAAAACTTCATGAAAGGTCTCATTTATGAAGATAAACAAATTCTGTTAGGCTTGTCAAGTGTACCTCAGTCAATGCAAGATTGTGTGAATGGACTGGTGAACAGGGTTAAATATATTTACATTATTATTTGCCCTTGCTTCAATCTGTTTGTTTGGAGTCACTTTTGTAATTAAAGAGAAAGATGCAATACCTGTTGCATTAGTGACCAAAGTTGTAATTAATATATACAATATGCAAAGATTATTTATTGCTGACATGCTTCTTGTACACCACTTTATAGCAGTTACTGTAAACCTGCTTTTCCCTGCTTCTTTGTTTTCCCCTTCATTTTGTAAAACCTTCAGTATCCATTTTGAACATTTTTAACCATGAAAGAAATGTATATAAATAAAATAAAACCTTTTGTTAAATTGGCCTTTCTTATTCTTTTCAAGGTATGACAACTTCAGTGACACCACACCTAACAATGCCACATAGGATGACCATGGTATATGTCTTGCTCATAATCCCTTTGCTATAGCGCATTTGATCTTGCAATTTTATTCTAGCACATTTATGGCCACAGGTAAACACTGGTGCCAGATGCAAATACTCATATCTGTAGTTTATGTCGATTTGGTTTATAAATAGATGGCTTCACAAGCATTTAGTCAGTCACCAAGAAGTAAATTACTGGCCTTCCCTCTTGACCCCATTCCTTGAATTTTCAGAGTTATTCCTAATAGTATTATTATGCTCAATAATAATATTATTGACTGTTATATAATAAACATTAACAATACTAATGGTAACCAAAAACTCATAACAGTTGACAGGTGACTAAGCATTTATCATGCCATCTACAAGTAAATAAAATTAATAGTGTACATAGTGGACAAGTTATTAAAAATCTAGGCAGGGAATAATTTCAGATATAGAAGATTTAGTAATTTGTAGTTATAGTCATTTTTATAGTGGCAAAACATTAAACTCTGTCCTGAGATTGAAAATAATACCTATAGTTCAATTCTAACTTATTATTTTTACTCCCTTTCTTCAATGCATATATTTTTTTTTAAATATGCATAATTGCTTATTGTAAGTATGATATTAATTCAGGAGATCTGATAGAAACAAATAATTCAAGGACAGCCATGTTGTGGTTTCCATTCCACAATAAGTTTAATGGTACTCTTTAGTGCTCTAAAATTCAACCAGATATAAAACCATAAACAATTCAGGACACACATAAGACTGATAGACTGACAATGTGTGCTCAGCATAACTGGTTATATAGAAAATCTTACCTTGAAATCGCCAAAGATCCTGTCTGATAATGTAGAGAACACCAAGAATATTGAAGGTAATTCTGGTTTTCATAAGCTTTATGGAAGCCTGATGTGCAACCGTGTGTTCCCTCACGAAATGAGATCAACTAAAATTGCATATGGTCATTACAGATCAGTGGCATCTTCAACATATCTCTAACACTGTGTAACAACTTTTTCATGCTCTTTCCTTTTGTTATCTGCAGCTTCATGCTCAAGTGTGGGGGGGAAAAACTTGTGCAAAAGACTAGAAACCTAGGCAGTCTCACAAAATTAGATAATGTAAAGGAAGCAAGATATGCATGATTTACATTCACTTAGCTTCAGGTGAGAAAATAAATTACTAAATACATAGAAAAGTAAATATCTTCATCTGTGGATGAGAATACACAAATAGTACTGATTAAAGACAAACAAACCCACCTTAGTCAATTTTAATGGCAATATGCAATAGGTCCACTGCGTAAAAAAATAAAAATAACAAATAATAAATAACCAAAATATTTCCTCCAATCAGTAAACATGTTATATAATGAGGCTATAGCAATAAACAGTGGACAACAGGAATACACTGCTTTCCTGTCAGAAGTCAAAATCTAAAACAAGTTTCCAATAACAATTGGAAATTGAAATTATTACAAAGTTTGAAGCAAAATTTATATTTAAGGTGCAAATGAGTTAGGCATGACCTTTTTACAACTACTTTCTTCTAGCATTATATTGTCAAGAAAGGAGAATAAGATTTGGTTACTTCTGCAATATTTATTTTGGATATATGTTTATGACTTTTCCATTGTCTAGCTTTACATAAGTGCTCTTTGAAGCATATAAACTGAATATGGTTTAGTTTTGTATTACACCAGTGGATGTGTCTCAGCCATCCCAGCATAGTGATATCACCTCTGAATAACTTAGCTCATGGTTTCTGTGCACAAGTCACTATCCCAGTGAATGCCTCTAGTGTAATCATCAGTACTATGGAGAGAGAATTCATGAAGTATAAAATAAATATTACATGAACACAATTACTTCAATGTTACACATTTCACTGGTCTCACGTTGTTATTTCCACTAGAAAAAATGCAAAATCTGAAGGCATTTTCTCAAATTACACTGAGGAAAAGGAAAAAAAAATATGTAAACATTTCTCACAAACTTATTTATTCAAAGGTTTCCATTTGTAAATATAGTACAGGGTTTATTAAAGGAAAATTATTAGCCTTAAAGTACCAAAAGAAGTAATCAAATTATAAATGAAACAGATTGAATATCAACGGGTTGTGAAAAAATATACACTAGGTTTATCCACACTTACTGAAATTACATCATGTATGTCATGAATAACTTTAGTGAAGAAGTTTCAGACACAAAGCTCTGTCTATTTGGAGGCAATAACAAGTTACATTTCTACATGAGCTAAACCATGAACTTTTGTTGCAGGTTCATTAGTTCAACTTTGTGTTGTTTCTGTACACTAATACTACACCATCTGGTGGAATGTACACACTCACACAGTATCATTTGCACTAGAGGAACACAGTATCACAGTCACACGTCCTTCAAGAACGAACAAATTTGCACTCGCACCCTCAGTCACTTGAGTCACGTCACTGGGGATGTCAGCATGCCAGACCCAGGAAGAATGGTGCAAGATCAAAGACCTCAACTTCCCAGGTTGCTAACATGCGGGAAATGTGCTAACATGGCAAGGAAGAAAGCACCGGATGCGCGCCTATTGTTCATGTATAGTCCAAGTGTGTAAACTTATCCACACTCCAGTACTCTTAGTCATCTTCCTCAGGAATTTTGCAGTTGTTGTATAAGAAGTGTGGTGTGAAAGTTAACATTCAGTCCATTTCACTTTACTTTCATAACACTACTGGACTGCACAGCATCTTGCACCACACACTTACTCAGCGCCACATCACACAGGGCCTCTTTATCACAGTCAAGCATTCACCAGTCACAGGACTGCAGCAGATTTGCTCCTTCCATGGTACCATTTTTGGCATCTTTAGAAATCCTCTAACTTGAGCACAGTGTTAAAACTTAACCATACTACCCAACCTCTTTAAATAAGGAAACTTATGTACTTGGAAAATGAAGCTTTGTAACATTGTCCTCAAGATTTGAAACCATTATCTATTGAATTGCAAATTATCTTCTACCACTGTACCAGTTCAGTCACTTAGGTGGGTTGTTGGTATCAACTAAGTTTCCACAAGTAAGTGGAAGAAAGATTTAACCCATATACATTAAGATTCATTCACGCAAAATCAAAGCTAAATTGTACTGGGTTTAAGTCCTCTCTTCCAACAACTTGCAGACACACCTCAGTTCTCACATTGCACATTTAGGGCTTACACTGCAAAATGCAACATTAGCAATCACAAACTAAGAGGGATTTGACATGGCTCACTTGTGTACATGGGGGAAAATATTAGCCAGTCAATAATCTTCAGCTGATACCATTACTATCCAACTCACTATTGCTTGCAAACAGCAACACACAATTTATACTTCATTCAAGAGAACCTGACAGGGAATAATAACCTCTTTTTATTTAAATTTAACATGCAAAACAAAAAAGGAAAACAAATCAGAAAAAAAAAATTGAGCATAACCATTTGAAATACTGTTTGAAATATTTAGGTGGTACTCATGTTCATGATTTCAGTTTTAATGTGCCTCAAAATGCCACTAAAGAACAATTAGAGCCGCATCCCATTCTAGTGCCCTAAACACACATGTGCTGTCACCGAAGAACTAGGAGACTAACTGAGGATGTATAATGACAGGAAAAGATTATCTGCATTATCCCAAATTGATCTTAACTACTTTAAGTATGTTTTTCAATAGTTTAGAAAAAAAATGTTACTGATTGGTAGATTATTTGGTAGATTGGATCTTCAAGAGGACTCAGAATATCTATAAAGACCTGCATTGGAATAAAGCAGAAGGCTGCCCTGCAGATAGAATAGATTAACTTGGCTAACACTAACAGAATTGAAGTGGTAGTAGTTGAAAATCCTTTGTACCCTTGACTAGACACCCTGGAATACTATCCCCACTTGTATTTATATTACAGTAGATGGATCAGTTACCAGTAGGGTACCCGACTCATGGCTACAGCACCATTCATTCCCACATAAAGGCACTTGAAAGGACTGGCTTTCAAAAACCACAGTTCATAAATAGGACTCACTTTGGAAAAGTTTTACATGCTTTACAGAGCAAATGAGGCAGATCTATTCCTGGGAGCTGGAATGATTCACTGGAAATGATTTTCTGATATTCTCATAAAAGAAGATATTCCCGTCATTCAAGAAAAGTTTTAGATATTTTCACACTCTTCCGAGGCCATCCGGTCGTCATCGCACATTCGGCCAAACTGCCGCACTTGCGATCGTCCATGTTTGTCTGTTCACTCACCACACACCCCACGCGCTGAACGGTCACCACTCACCACAGCCGGGCAACGCTCTTCCCTCACTCCATGCAGACACACCGCATCTGACTCACTGCATCGACTCACCACAGACTAAACTCGCCACTCATCTGAAAAGCCAAGTTAGGGGCTACTACCAGTTAGATGACACTTAAGGACGTAATCCAGTCACACGCACTTCCCTCCACCTCCCCTAAACAATGTGATGACTATCTGGTATACAAAAGAACTTGTATTCTCTCAAAGACACACTATGGAAGAGTGAAGCATTTCTCACACAAGCTGTGGTTGAGGAAAGCTTTCATATCACCAGATTTTACCATACAGTCTCAGAACATTCAAAAGAAAATTTATAAATATAGAACAGGCACCTTAACATTCTGAAAGATGTGTGGGTATTTCATGTTCCTTTATTTAGTTTATGTACTTTATTCAACTCCTATATTCCCAAAACCTCATAAATACTTATAATTAAGACTATATTATCCTAGAGAAATTAGACCTAGTATCAAATCTACATCTGAAAATTGGGATATATGGCTTGAAAGCTCTGAGTGAATAGCTGTGAATGAACTAGAATAAATGACTGACTGAGCATAAGAATGACCTGGCCGGTTGAAAATAGGAGTCGGTGAGTGAATGAGCAAAGGAGCAAGTGACTATACTCCATCTTACCTCAGGAAAGAAAAAATTGGCAACTCACACTCCAGAGTAATCAAATTTGCCAAAAATAGTGAAGTGGAATTTAGGAACAATTTCTATATTTAAAAAAATATAAAAATATTGCATACAAGTTTTAACTTACAAAACAAGTATACATTAGTAGCAAGTACCATTTGATTACAAGAGAGACTTGATGAATCGGAGTACTCTAGAGTCTAGGGCAAGTTGCTAGTTTCCTTCCTGGGAATGGATGTAAATGAGCAAATGAGTGAGTGGCTAAGTGAGCAAGTGAATGAGAGAGTGGCTAAGTGAGCAAGTGAATGAGTAAGTAGCTAAGTGAGCAAGTGACTGAGTAAGTAGCTAAGTGAGCAAGTGAATGAGAGAGGGGCTAAGTGAGAAAGTGAATGAGTAAGTAGCTAAGTGAGCAAGTGAATGAGTAAGTAGCTAAGTGAGCAAGTGAATGAGTGAGAGGCTAAGTGAGCAAGTGAATGAGTGAGAGGCTAAGTGAGCAAGTGAGTGAGTGAGTGAGTGAGTGAGTGAGTGAGTGAGTGAGTGGCTAAGTGAGCAGGTGAACGAGTGGCTGATTGATTGATTGATTGATTGAGTGAGTGAGTGGCTGGCTGATTGATTGATTGATTGAGTGGCTGATTGAGTAAGTGAGTGGCTGATTGATTGAGTGAGTGAGTGAGTGAGTGAGTGAGTGAGTGAGTGAGTGAGTGAGTGAGTGAGTGAGTGAGTGATTGAGTGAGTGGCTGATTGAGTGAGTGAGTGAGTGAGTGGCTGATTGAGTGAGTGAGTGAGTGGCTGATTGAGTGAGTGAGTGAGTGAGTGAGTGGCTGATTGAGTGAGTGAGTGAGTGAGTGGCTGATTGAGTGAGTGAGTGAGTGAGTGGCTGATTGAGTGAGTGAGTGAGTGAGTGAGTGAGTGGCTGATTGAGTGAGTGAGTGAGTGGCTGATTGAGTGAGTGAGTGAGTGGCTGATTGAGTGAGTGAGTGAGTGGCTGATTGAGTGAGTGAGTGGCTGATTGAGTGAGTGAGTGGCTGATTGAGTGAGTGAGTGGCTGATTCAGTGATTGATTGATTGAGTGAGTGGCTGAGTGAGAATGTAGAAACAAGTCTGAATAAATGTGAGTGAGTGAGTGAGTGGCTGATTGAGTGAGTGAGCGAGTGGCTGATTGAGTGAGAGAGTGAGTGGCTGATTGAGTGAGTGAGTGGCTGATTGAGTGAGTGAGTGGCTGATTGAGTGAGTGAGTGAGTGGCTGATTGATTGATTGATTGATTGATTGATTGATTGAGTGAGTGAATGAGTGGCTGATTGATTGATTGATTAATTGAGTGAGTGAGTGGCTGATTGAGTGAGTGAGTGGCTGATTGAGTGAGTGAGTGAGTGGCTGATTGATTGATTGATTGATTGAGTGAGTGAATGAGTGGCTGATTGATTGATTGACTGATTGAGTGAGTGAGTGGCTGAGTGAGAATGTAGAAACAAGTCTGAATAAATGTGAATGAATGAAGTCAAAATACAAAAATTCAAAGTCTATTAAGTTCTGTTGATCTCTCCTGCCCCTATATTCTCATTATCATTATCCTCACAGCCCAACCAAGTATGTCTATCTAAAATAGGTCTTGACTGAACCTCTCCCAAAAGGGTTTTAAGGCCTTCTGTAATTCTGTTATTGAGCCCTTCAATCAAAAAGATTAGATCTACAACATAAGTATTGCCCATAAACCTTTCTTAATAAGTATCCTGAGTGAAAACCTGAAAAGCCCCAATCTTCATTTCCCTCTTCAGCTCTCTAAATGTAAATCTCTTAAAAATCTGTAAGCTAAAACCGTCAGCCAATCCTAGAATTACAAAGGTCCACACGTTACTTGCTCATTCACCAAGAAATGATCGTCAATCAATGATTATATTCTGCACTTTTATACATGTATTTTACATTAAACATAGAAATATGAAAACATGAGCAAGTAATGTATGAACTTTCACATATCCAGACCATGTGCTTAGCTTAGGAATGTAGACACCTAGAAGAAACATGTTAGTATCCAGAGCCCCATTAAATTATCCCTATACCCACAGCCAACATATCACCTACCTAAGAGTACTTACCAAGTGCTGTTGTTTTTCAAGCGACGGATTTCTTTAGTTGCCCACATTGCAAGGGTCTTTGTCTTTGAAGTCTTGGAGCGTCGGCCTTGAGAAAGTAGATTGGTGATAGGATCAGTCTCCACCAACTGCAGCATGTCTGTTCCAAACACAGAACACAAGTCCCTGTGGTAAGAGAACTTCTGTTAGTATCAAGAGAAATTTCAGAAGTCAGAAAATGTGGGATAACCTGAAAGTACATGAAATATGCAAAAATGCTATAAATCAATATAGTGAAAATCTCATAAAAATTTGCACGTTTTCCAACTAATAGAGTAATAATCTATCCTCAACTCACCCAATCAGACCAGCTGAACTAGCAATAACAGGATCAGATTTTTCATCATCTGTAGCAACGGAAGTGATAAAAGAGATCATGTGGGGCACATGTTGACGCAGGAGCTGTACTTCCTGGTTTGGTGTTGCCCCATCGCCTTTTAAACCCTGAACAATACCAGTATAAGCCTCCAAACAGCTTTCACGTAATTCATTAAGGTAATCCAGCATATCAAAGTCAGAGCGATCAACTTGGGCTTGAGATGCCTGGTGAAGCATTTGAAGGACAACTTCCAAGTATTTGGTAAACTTGGGTCCTAGAGCTAAAGCCATATCACCAAATACTGAGAGTATGGATGGTTTCACATTTCTGTGAACATTATTATTCCCAAGATTCTCCACCAACATGGACATCAGTTCATCGCAGAAGGGCTCTACTTTATCACCCAGAGCACGACAGATGTCTCCTGTAACCCCCACAGCAGCTGAGCATACAGGGTAGTCCTCAACATTCCGCAAGCCCAAAGACAAGAAAGGCTTGAATGCCTCCATGTATTTCAAGAAGTTGTGTCCTAATACCTCCACCAGAGTGGAAACAGCAAGGAGTGCATCTTCCTGCACACCCCCTGACTTGCCCTGAGACGTCTGGAACATTTGCAGCAGAGCAGCCATGATAGGATCACTGATTTTTGGAGCATCTTCAGGGGTTACTTTCCTTAAAACTGACTGGAGAGTTGCACATAACAGTGACTGAATATCATTCACCTGAACCCTATCGCTATGGGACTGAATCTGTGACTCCATGTGCAATACTTGTTGAAGCCTTTCCAGAATTATCATAGTAGTTTTTTGGACAGTTGGATAGCAATCCCTTGGAGAATTCTTCATAAGTTCCATGAGGGCCTCATATGCAGCATTTCTTAAATTACACTGGTTCCCATCAGCTCGGTCTGTAGTTTGCAAAAGAACATCTACCAAGGGGTCAAAGAATGCAGACAGACAATAGGTTGGTGGCTCGCCATCAACATCTCCAGTATCCGCTTGTTCATAAGCAGCTTCTGCTAGTGAACTTAGAGCCCAGCAGACGTTTGATGCCACCCTCGGTTCTCCCTTCAAGCTGTGAACTAATGCCTCCAGCAATAACTTGAGGTAAGTGTCATTGCATGCTGCATCTGGGATTAGTTCACACACTCGACCCAGAGTCCAAGCTGTTGTGTCTCGCACCACTACAGACGAATCACTAAGAGCCTCAATCAGGGTTGGCATTGCCTGTTCAACCATTGGTTTAAGGTTGGTTGGATCAGGGCCTTCCAAAATCGAACCTGTAAAAAGGATTTTTCTTTTATTTACAAACAAAAGCAACATTCAATATATTACAATAAATACTAGAACTTTGGGTTTTTTTATGTAACAAAATTATATACCAACCAAATGCCATTATCGCTGCATCTCGGAGTCTCCAGTCAGTGTGCTTAATATTCTCCTTTACGAAAGGCAGGACATGGGGTACAATATCATCTTCAGTGCATGTCGCAAGAAGCATCACACACACCCCAGCTGCTTTGCAGGGGTTCCACTCATCATCATCATCCGCTTCCTCTTGCTTTCCAAGTGTCATCATCAGTACTGGGACTAGATACTGTAAGAAAGAGAAAGGTTAGCTCTAAAATTCTGCAAATTGATTTCCATAAAAAATACAGCACAATATATTAAACTGCATAATATAATAAAGATATGTAGGTACGCCATACAGCAATAAACATACCTGCAATGCTCCCTTGGCATAGAAGCGAGAGGTTCTCTCTGGGGGACGGCCAAGCTCAGCTGCCTCAGAAGCCTCAATGGCAAGATCCACTTCTTCATCACACACATTCGACCAGAACTCAATTCCTTGTAGTGCTACTTCATCTATGTCACTCTTCATGGCTTCGAGAGTGATCTTTGTAAGAAAATATTAATTTATGAAACAATAAAACCTTTAATCCTATTTCTAGTACGTAACTTATCAGATATAGTGGTCATACCTATCTGAGCTTAACAATAGCCAACCACAGATACGAGTTACAGATGGAAATATATCCAAGTATACAAAAGACCATGGGTTGGAGAACAATAAAGCTAGTTTAAACACCATAAAATCCAATTAATTCCTATGAGAGTACTGAATACAAAGAAAAGTGTAAGCAAAACTAAATGCCATTGTCAATTTACTTTTACTACATTTCAAAATGTACAACTAAAAATGATTCAGGCAATTTTAAGAATATTTCAAAAGTACAAATAAAAACCACTTACTGCAAAAAGTGCAGGTCCCATATAATGCTCCATGTACTGATAATATAGTGACATTATTTTTACCAAACATTGTAGGGCAGCAACTTTAATTTGAGTATTGGTAGATTGGGTTGCTTCACAAACCACCTGCAAAAAAACACATTTAAAATACACTATAACTTAGTTATGATATGACTGTAAGGGAAACTTCAATGTAGTACAATAGAAAAACTTATTACCTGAATAAAGCAAAATACCTACTTGCATAATAAAATGTCTTTCAGCATCCCTTTCGAAGTTCTGTTTTGTAAATTCAAGTGAGTTAAGAAGTGCTGTCGTTGCTGCAAGTCTAACATGGTCATTAGGTTCATCACGCTTCATACCATGGACAATAGCAGTGAGGATATTGTTACTCTGTGAAGCTATGGCATCTGGCTCTATATCCTGAAATGATGAATAAAAAAATGTGGATTTAAAATATACATGCATAAGTATGGTCTTTCATACACAAGCAAACTTGAACTACCAAAGTAATAAAAACCTGTTCAAATACCAAAGTTCCACCACAATGTCAAAACTTCCACTGGGTTAAAAGTAAAATAAATTTCAATTTGAAATCACTGAATTATTTTTCAATTTCCAATATTGCAGAACTGTTTGAACTTACTCACCTGGCAAATATATCCAATAGCCTCTAAAGTTGACTCTTTAGTCATATCCGTGGCTCCAGGAGCCGTAATATTTGCCACCAATCTGTCTATTAAGTTTGGCCATTGGCCTACAGGAATTTCTGTCAATGCAATGTAGGCAACACATTGTGCTGCTGAGCTTGGCCGGTTTTGCTCTGTTCCTAATGCTCCCAAAACCTAAAAATGAAGTTTATAATTAAATTTTTCTGAAGCATTAATTAGCTCCTTAATCAAAAGGAACTAAGCAAATATTCACATAAATATACACAAAAAACAAGGCACCACTGGTATAAATATATACACAAAAACAACGCACGAACATCACAATCATTCTTACATTTGCCTTAACGTAGTCCCTGACATCTGGTGGAAATGCCAGCCACCGCTGCTGATACTGTACTTTAACTTTGGGATCATTGGAAGCTAATGTGTTTTTCAGCTGAATACCCGCGGCCATTCGGGCCACGGTGGAATTTCCTCCATGGTGCAATACATCACTCAGTACTTTCACATATTCCGGCTGTAAAATAAAGGAAATTTAAAAAGATTCTTAACATCCTTCTACAGTATCATATATACTTGTGAATTCATCTTCTGATTTTAAAAACTTGGGCACTGCACTTGAGGAAAACAAACTAAATAATCTTTTAGTTTAAAATAAATTAAATCTTGTGAAAGTAAGAGAAAAAAAAATATATATATATAATATACATCAGTCATATTAATCACGAACAGATTGTGACAAATCTATATGCTTAAACAGTTACTTCACAATGCTAAGAGACTTACCAAATTTGATTGTGCTGCCTGCTCTAGATAATTTAATGCAGTTTCCAACTCAGTTTTATCTGAAAATATACAAAGAATATACTATCAACCCTTATATAGACATTGTCACTATACACTGATATTTATGTAACCTAAGTATCCAATGGGTACAGAACGAGTCAAATTCATAAAGCCTTCATCTTGGAATTGCCAACTACACTAAAATGCAATACATACAAGTTTCAAACTATTACCACATAAGAACCAAACCACTAAATGTGGCTTCTAAGTCAGGTAATTCAATTAAATGAAATTTCTTCTAGGAAAGGACTAAAACTAGGTAATTAAATTGAAGAACGATGGAGAAAATAAAAATAATATAATTGTATATAAACACTGGCACGACCTGACATATGGATGCCCAGATAAAGATGGATGTGTGGACATGGTACTGTAGTTGCATGAAAGTGTGCAAACAAGAGTGAAAAATTATTTCTCTTAATGTGTTTGCATGTGTGAATAGAGAGTAGTTACTGTGGTTCCATGTATGCAAAGAAAGCATACAAGCAAAAGTGCCAAGTGTGAATTATACAATAATGTAAATTAGTTTGACATGTGAAACTGTGCATTTCTTGTATGTGTAAGTGAATGTGCATGTGTGTGTATGTTTATGTGGAGATCAACTGCAACTCTACTGACCCAGTACTAATTAAGACTAATATCTTAATTTGAATTTTCTTCTTAAAAATTGAATTAGTTCTATTTGGATTTTATTTTTTTTTAATATTACTTTTGAAAAGAAATTGTAAAGGTTCAAATAAGGATCCTCTATCGATAAAATGTGAGGGGGGAAAAAAGGAAAACAAATAAAAAAATCGTTGACAGCACAGCACAACTTTTTAATGTACTATTTTGAAAAAAATTGACATTATATTTAAAGGATGACAGCGTTAGTTTAAAGGTATTACCAGGTAGGCCAGTCAAGAATATTACTATTATTAATTGGGGCCATATCAAACAATAGCCAGTCTCCATGTTTCAAGACCTGGCAAAGACCAACAACAAACTAATTAGAAATATTCTGGAGATGGGTGCATACACTGGTTTATTATTCAACATTATGTTTTGAGGGTATTATACAAGTTAATCTCCCCAAAATATACATTGCAGGGGTCTTCATTGCAAAAGTTACAGTGGGTTCCCTTTTTAATATCAGACTACTGTCATCCTTAACACCTGACCAGACTAATTCATGCTGCATAAACTGTCAATTTGGTATAGTATATGGTAGTCCCCCCCCACCCCCTTATGTTCATATGGTTTTATTCTGGCAAATTGCCAGGACTAGTTAGCTTAACTTAAAGTTAAGCTAACTTAACCCCTCAGTGACTAGTATCAGAAATCTCTTGGTGTCCTAAATCCTGGGGATTTCTGGCAATACCCAGTCGCTTGGCACGGTAGTCGGCTACATGTAGCGGAACTTCCAGCACACACACATTATCATGTTGCGACATGTATAGCCGTTCCCTGCAGACCATGTAGTTTATTATAACACTTCTATACATCCATAAGGAATTAACATTACTTTCATCTGAGAGTATGTAATACCTATATCTGAAGGCTGACAGCATGGTTTTTTTTATGGGAGTTGGTTAAGCCACATGGATTTTTCTTTTTAAACTCATTGTTATACAAGTGATTAGTCCCAAAGTAATCAATTACTAGATGTACATGACCTCACTTGTTTATTTCATTCTCTGAAATGTTTTTACTTTTATTACTGCTATTTACTCCTTAACGCCGGGTGATGCCGATTGACATGAAAACAAACCGCTTGAAAGCTGGCGTGCGGCTGTACGCCGCGGCAGCGCGCCAAAGTATGGCGAACCAGTGATTCGGGCTAATGTCCCCTACTCACTCGCTCAAAGTCGGCGCGCCGCCTTTGTTTGCTAGAGCGTAGTTTTTTTTTATTGTTTTGCACACCCGGCGCCATTGGGTTAAAGTTCTATGAACTAAAAAATTATCCCATTTTATGCCAGTCCATGCCTTGCGGCGTCATATCAAACCACTTGGTCTGCGGAGTACGGCTGTACACTGTGGCAACACGTAAAAGTGCTTCGAGCCATGTGTTCGGCTTGATGTAGCAAACTCCCACACTCAAAGTCGGCTTGTTGCCATTTATCTCTAGAGTGTAGAATTCACCCAGCAGAAACAGGTTACAAGAAATAACTGCATAAAAGTGTGTGGGGGGGGGGGACGAGTGTGCTCACATACTTAACCTAGAACCAGCATTTAAATATTGAAGTTTTGTATGTTTAGGACAGCTTTATTCATAGATTTGTTGGAGTTGGGGCCTTAATTCTGACATATGCTGGCCTCTTGTAAAATTTTACTTGATTGGCTCCTTGGTGACTGAGCCCTTTGTTGAGTCATTCAGTGTAAACAAAAATAAATAAAAATCTTTAGAGGAGAGTATTTGTACTTCTGAAAAACTAAATATAAGAAAGGAAGGAAAGGAGGAAGGGTGGGAGGAAAGAAAGGAGGAAAAAAGAAAAAGCTCCACAAAAACTAGGCCACTCTTATGATCCCAACTTGGAATTCCAAGCCTGAAAGTACATACCAATAACGGCATGATTTGCCCCTTTCCAACTCTGCAATCAGATTCTTACTATTCAGCTGTGCGTTTTAATTTAGGACTATTTTCTTATTAGAATCATTCTGGTAGTCTTCTAAGAAATCCAATTGACAACATCTAGAATAGTTTTGAATTATAAAGTCCATAACTTGGTATCAATTGCCTAATAGCATCTACAAACAGTTGGAGGGATTAAAAAGTAACATCCAAAAACTCCCATAACTTACACAATTACATAAGACGGCAATTCTTTACAGTATGGACCCACTTGACAGAGGCATGTCCCAAACATTATTCCAGATTCTATGTTACCATATATAAGCATGCTCATTGGGCACTGCCTGTGGAGAGGGTTGATGAAATTCTTGTATTGACAACTGCAAGAATATCTCCGATTTGCCTTAGCTTAGTGCATACTGCACTTATGAACCTTCAGGAATGTGTACAATAAGGTATGTTTACCTCCACCTTAGCTGGGTCAAGAAGTCTGTAACACACATCGCAGACTTGTCTTGGTTCTACCTTGTTGGTCGTTGTGGTGGACATTTAGTATTCCCCGCTTTCCCGATAATCCTTCATGACCTTCCCACTTAACATATCTTACATCATTGCTAATTTTGCCTATCAATGACTTGAACACTATAAAGGCATATTAGACATGTGGAATCCAGCCACACCAAAATGAAGGAATTTTTCAAGTATGGACTGTTTTGAGAAAATTACCTTTGAGTAAAACTTACCGTGAAATGTGATAATTTTTCCGGTCTAAATTCGAACCTAGCAACAGATTTTTTCATAATCAATAAACTACCATATCTCGAACAATATGGCAAATAGTGATGATCCACGACATGCTGGTAGATGCGCAGGTGTAACAGTAATTAAGAAAGTAGGTTTTACCACATTCCGCTGTTCAAGTGTATCCGAAAGGGATTAACGTATCTCATACATACAAGCCTTCACTAATGTCTTAATTAAAATTCAAATACCTCGCAACTAAAATACTCTGTCATTTCACAGCTATCATACTCTTCTAAAAATTATCGCTGAATACCAAGGACCCTAAACCCATTTTCTTGCCAACTAGGTGCACCCTCCAGGCCCCTTCTCATCCACCTTCCTAGTAGATTTTCATTCCTTCACCCCGTTCCGACTCCACACTCAGCCCCAACGGCCCCAGGGCCCACGCCCGCCCGCCCGCCCGCCCAGCCTGAGGTGCGAGAAAATCAGAAACACGTTATAGGCCTACCCCCCACCCCCACGTGTTTTCGGCCTCGCCTCAATATTCAAGTCTTTTCCCACCACATTTTGGTGCATGGCGTGGTCGATGTCTCCGTTCCAGTGAGGCGATGGGGAGGTTTTCATTTTTATTTTTTTAACCACGAGTGGAAGTTTGGAGTTGTTGACAACGTTAATATGGCCGCCTGGAGCCAGACCGCCCTTGCGGGTTTATTTCGCCCTACAACTCCATCCATGCCTCATCTGCGCTTAACCTATGTGACACTCGTTCTGCCGCGAAGGGCGAGTGTGCTAATCGGCTCCAATTTATCGGAATTTGCGGAATCTCCGGCCATTTCGTCCGATTCACGTCTGGTAGCGACCAAGGCGGGAAGACCCACCGATACATTCCTCCCTTTTCTAATGTAATTCGGCGGACATTCGCCCATCTGCGTGCTTTACTCACCTGGCGATGTAGTTTTCTCGAGTATTTGTATGACCTGTTCCATATTCGAGGGCGGGCGCTGGGGACACGGGCGGCGCTAAATAATTCCGAGCGAGAGACACCGGTACAGGGGCTACCACATGTGCGGCGGAGG